TGAATCAAGTACCAGTCAAGTGTTTTAAGACTACAGTAACCAAAAGTATGTCTGCACACCGCGTCATAATGATAGCACCACCCTGGAAAACGGAAAATCTCATGTTTATTTCAGAAATAAATTGAGAATGTTTTGTTGGAATTTGTTAAAAAAGTACAGATAATCATAAAGAGACCTAGGAATCTTGAAAGAACACTTTTCACGAACGTTTGAGGGAAATTTCGAATTCCTATCTTTTTCCATAAAAACCATTCAGAAATCAAATTTCTACGACTATTTTGAGCCGTGTTATGACTATTCCAAATTTTCAAGCTAGAGACGCAGAGAAACGAGACACACTGCGTCTCTAGCCTCAAAACTTTTAAAGGCTCATATCTCGGCTCTAAATCATTGGATAGGGTTGGTTTCTGGCTCATTTTGTCTTGAATTTTTGGAGCGCGTAGCTCAAGGTCTCCGTCGCTCTAATATTAGGTCCATGGGTCTAACGCCGAAATATGGTCAAAGAAGCTCAAAAACTACTACACTCAAGAAAAAACAGAAAAAAGCCAAAAGATAGATATAACTTTTCATCCTTGTCTGTTTGAAACTCGGGTTACCATAATGACACTTTTATTTGTAGGGCAGCATCTAAAAGAAAAAGAAGTAGGAGAGGAAATGAACAAATGAGCAAGTGTGGAGCAAGCGGGTTAGATGATAGGGTAATGGGGGATTTTCGAGAATGGACGAATTCAAAATTTCAGGCTAATGAAGGAGCTCCAAAAGTATATACAGTAATGGCCAAAAAGAATGCGTCGACAGGTTTTTGATTGTAACTTTCTTCAAAATAGAGCTAAAGAGTCAAACTTTTTCATAAAATGTAGCAATTAACCCTAGCAAAAATACTTCAAAACATTTTTGCCCAGTAAACGGGAAAAAACTTTTTTGGCGACAAAATTCACTTTTTTGAAAATTTCGGAATCTTGGGTTTTTTGTTTCAAAAATCTGACGATTATGGATGTATAAAATTAATTTTGATCATGATAGAAGAAATCATTCATTATCGTTTCCTATTTTTTTCCATATTTTTGAAGAAAAACATCCAAAACCCGCAATTTTCCAAGAAGTGAATTTTGTCGCCAAAAAACTTGTTTTTCGTTTCTTGGGCAAAAATATTTCAGCATATTTTTGTAAGAGTTAGTTGTTACATTTTACAAAAAAGTTTGACTCCTTAGCTCTACTTTGAAGAAAGTTACAGTCAAAAAACCTGTCGAGTCGACAGTGTCGACGCATTCTTGTTGCCCAGTACCGTAAGATCCCAATTTGAAATTTCGAAAATTCCTAGAATTCCAAAGTTTATGAAAATTTGTAGTCTAAATTTTGAAAGTTACTATTTTTATTGAAATTCAAAGAAAAACCAAAATTATTTATTAAATGGAAAATCATTGTACATAAATACCACAAAAAATTAAAATAAGACAACTAATTCAAGAATCCAAAACTCTAAAGAGATTCAATAAAATCTGAATAAGCGCTGGATCAATCTCCGGCATTTTGATCTGAAAATATTTTTCAGATTCCTTCAATTCATCTGAAATCTCCCAAACCTGAGGAATTTCACTCCGATGAACCCAGTGAAGGCCTTTTTTTGTCAACTTGCTAGACGTAGTCCGATTGGGAGAGCTGATATGGATTTGAATTCTGAAATTATACTAATCAGACTAAAGTAGCTAAATAGCAGAATTTCTCACCTTAGCATTGTTCATAGTAAGCAGAGATTTCGAAATGGTGAAAAATGGGTTATTTTCTGGAAACAGAGGGTCCGAAGGTCCGGTTTCTGAGGTGGAAGGCTCATTGGCAGGCTGATTCTGAACTGGCACATTAGTAGGAGCATTCTGTAAACCATATTAAAGATTTCATTATTTTTCTGACCGCCGGACGACCGTCGACAGAAAGACCGACCGACCGACCGTCGACCGACCGCTGACCGAATCCGTGCATTTTTGCGTCAAATGTTTGCGCAAGCAGTTCCCACAGCCAAAAATACATAGTTGGTCGTAAAATAGAGTGAGGTGTACGCAAAGGCTCTCTGGAATGTTGACGGATCCGGTCGGCGGTCGGTGGGACGGCTAAATTTCTCCGACCAAATGGAAGTCTCAATTTACTTTCTTACCGTTTATGGTTCAAGACTTTCTGGAAAGTTGAAAAATGCATTATATTCAGGGATCGCAAGGTTCGAGTGTGCGTTTTTCGAAGTGGACGGCTTATTGACAAACGGATTCTTTGTTGGACCGTTGTTAGGAGCATTCTGCGGATCAAATCACAAGTTTGGAGCATAAGTATAGCAAAAAAGGCTCACCCTCACTTGATCCCAGTAGTAGTGGCTTAACATTCTTTCTGGATTCAATTTTGGGGAACGACAAATCTTGCATTTCAGAACATTTTATTCAGAGTCAATGGGTGTATTTTAAATGGGATTTCAGGCTTATGATAGTTGGACAATGCATATGACAACCCTTTAAAACACATGGAGAAGGCTGATTATTGATAGCACCACCCCATTATTTGAGGTTTTCAGAAAAACTAAGAATCTTGGAGAAAAATGGATGATGCCATTAGATTCAGCATCCCAAAAAACCTATGTGTCCCCTGTCAATCAAGTACCAGTCAAGTGTTTTAGGACTACAGTAACCAAAAGTCTGTCTGCACACCGTGTCATAATGATAGCACCACCCTGGAAAACGGAAAATCTCATGTTTATTTCAGAAATAAATTGAGAATGTTTTGTTGGAATTTGTTAAAATAGTTTCAAAACAGTCTATTTTGACAGTTTGCACAAAAATTGATGCCTCTATTCAAGTTTTAGAACAAAATATTTTCAGACATTTTTGTCATTTTCTGGGTTTTTGGATTAAATCATGAATAACTTTGCTCCTGGGTGAAGTTTTGAGCTGAGATTCATGATTCAGGGGACACAAAGGTTTTTTGAGATGCTGAACCGAATGGTTATTGCCGTTTTCTGCCAAAATTTCTAGTTTTTCTGAAAACCCCATTTAATGGGGTGGTGCTATCATTATGACGCGCACTGTATAAGTTTTTAAGCAACCTACCATGCAGGTAATTCATTACTTTTCCAATCCTAACATGTTCTCGGTACTCCAGGAACAAGTTGAATCCAGTTCGGTCGATGGCTATGATCACACGCTGGCTATACTACACGCAAAAAGTTTTGAAGATTCGAAGCTTGTTTCAAGCTATTGATAGTTGGCCATTATTGTCCCAGTGTGCTAACTTGGCGCTCCAGCTGAAAAATTGGATCAAATATGAACTTAAAACCAGTGATCCAGATTTTGACTTTTTTTTGTTGAAATCACATATCCACATAATCTACTAACTAAGAAGATAAATGTCTTGATTTTGGACTTTATAGTTTTTAATATCTCGGATTTTAAGAATAACGAAATTCCACTTACCAATTACAACTGTCGTCCCGATGTGCCAGAAAACTTCCATAATCATCATATTTGTTCTCATTCTATTTAAATTGAAAATATCGCTTGTTGATTGGCACCTAAAACTTTAGATGTTTAAATTTTAGTAATTTTTCAAATTCTCAAATTTTTTTCACTTTAAATTTTCTGGAAATTGTTTAAGATCTGATTGAACAGAAGAAATCCAAATTCTTCTCCAGGGATTTCTCGTGCTTTTCCTTGATCTTTTTGGCAGAGGGGCAAAGATTTTCTTGAGATCCGGGAACTGACTCTAAACATATCCAAAATGCTTGTTGCGTTTCCGATGAAAAAGTACACTGGTACCTTCTTGTTGCCTTCTTGCCTTCTTGTCCTCTTGTAGAATGATTGGAGAATTGAAGACTTGCCTTCTTGTAGAATGATTGGAGAATTGAAGAACGGTAAAACTTCTCCCGAAAACATACAAAGCGGTGGCACAGCTCTATTGGCCATAAATGACGATTACGGGAGGCAAATGTTTTGACGTTTTGGCGATCGAAATGAGAAGAAGAGATGAAAAGGTCAGGAATTCTGTAAAAACGTTTGGGTGATTTCATATGTAAGAAAAAACAGATATTTTCGGAGCTTGTTGTGATAGATCTTCTTATTACTATAGAAACGTTTCTGTCTGTCTAATAGGAAACCTATCAGTCGGTTCACTCACTGCTAGGGGGATCATGTTTGAGCATAATTTAGAAAAATTTGATTCTTGACTCTGTAACTATCCTAATACCTGGAGGGTCATGAAACAATAAACATGAAGAGCTTGGTAGTCCATGACTACATACTACACACCACTATAGGAGCCTCACGGCCCCCTGATTTATTCAATAGAAAGTCCGCAAAAGACAGAAAAATTTCCATTTTGAGTAGATAGATTGAAATATTTATTTATTGCATTACTGCAGCAAATTGAAACTTACTTTATGAAAATCAGAGCTCATGACTGATGCAAGCATCAGACTATGAAAATATAGACCAATACACACTCGGTCATTGGGAATACATAGTTAATAAAAATTCTTATTTTGAGTCGCACTTTTATATGGACCAAAATGGGCGGAGCTTCGAAATTTGCTTGGCTGTAAACACAAATAGGAGAACCTGCAAAACAAATCATTATATTATTTAATGAAGAGTTTACAGCAATCGTCTCAGGAAAATGAATTCCATAAACACCTTATGTGTACCTCGTTGGTCCATTATAACGATTAGACAACACCGGATTTGCATACGGCCAAAACAAGTGACAGGCACCATCGGTTACCGCACGGCACAATAAGATGTGTGTTGTTGTTTACTGTACCATTATAATGAGGGAGAACAAATCCTATTGGAGCATTCGATTGAGACTGCACAACAATCCAGGTTATTTCGTCGTGCGGTAAACTATTGTGACTGTCACTTGTTTTGGCAAAACGCATATGCGGTGTTGTCTAATTAATTATCCCAATAAACCAGGAAGGTGCACAAACAAAATTGTCCGGGTTCTTGTGCAGTGTCCATTAAATGCTCGAAAATGATTCCCCCCTCATCAAAATATTACGGCAAACAACAAACAGATTATTGCGCCGTGCGGTAAGCAATGGTGACTGGCACATATTTTGACTATATGCACATCCAGTGTCATCTAGTTGTTATATTGAACCAAGAAAGATCTGGTATTTATGGATTTCATTTTCCTGAGATAAATAGTTGCTGTAAACGCTTCATTATATAACAAAATGATTTGTTTTTCAGGTTCTCTTAATTGTGTTTACAGCCACACGATTCACGAAACTCCGCCCATTTCGGTCCATATAAAAGTGCGGCTCAAAATATGAATTTTCATTATCTATGTATTCCCAATGACCGAATGTGTATTGGTCTATATTTTCATGGTCTGATGCTTGCATCAGTCATGAGCTCTGATTTTCATAAAGTAAGTTTCAATTCGCTGGAGTAATACAGTAAGTACTTCAAAATGTTTTTTCAGAATTAATCAAAATTAATCGATTATATCCATACTCTCCGAGATTCGTGTTTGAGAACTTTTTATCGTGAAATACTGAAGATGACGGTCCGTTTCTGAATATTCACGAAGCTCACCTTCACTGTTCTCATGTTCTTCATTTCTGACCGTTGGTCAAATAATCACTTCAGGGCTATCATTTTCGGTGTAATGACGGATTTGGTGAGTGAGAAATTGCTCATTCAAATTTCAAATTTTAAAACTGATCACTTTCGATTGCTTCGAAATGATCATTTTCGATTGCAGAATTGGGAAAGAACTCGCCAATTCTTTCAATCCTTATGTTGTGACAATGAGAACAATACGAACCTTTGAACATCTGAACCGACACATTTCTCAAAATGTATACCAACGCAAAAACACATCAACAGGTGAGGATTTTTCAACTTTCGTGAATTTTAAAAATTTTGGAAAAATTTAGATGCGAAGCCTTTTCCAAAGGAACACGATAGATATACGATGAAAACATGAGAGCTAGACGTCGTCAAAACTCAATTCCACTATTAGGCTCAACTGATGCTCCAACTGCGAACAAAGTAAGATTTTTGGAGAACAAAATCTCCATCATAACTTGAGTTCCATTTCAGAGAAATTTTCGTTCAACTAAAAGTGGTCCACCTAACAAAAGAAAATCAGAACTTCCCGTAGAATATCATCGTCTTGGACATTTTCGGAATCGGAACCATCTGACTTGGAGTCCAATGTCTCTGATTCCAAATATTCTCCAGAGACGGAAAAACAAAGAAGGACGAATTGAACGAACACGAAGAAGATACAGTGAATTAGAGAAGAAAGAATGCAAACTATCAAACATTTGAGAAATATTCAGTGAGTCACTAGAAAATGGCTGTGTAGTGCACTTCACCGCACCACCAAACATTTTGCACTTCTAACATTAGAAGGGCCCCTAACATCCAACTTCGAGTCAATTTTTCTTGATCTCTGTCAAATACATCTAATAGAGTTTTCAGGACAAGGATCGCAACAAGTATCTGAAGCAACACGTCTGAGCACGAGAGCAGGCTGAAAGATTAGAATTGGCCGAATCGCTCATCTGGACACAATTCAAACAATTTTTGTATTCTCTATGATTTTTCTTTCTTTCATATTTTTCCACACATGAAAGCAGCTTCACAAACTTTATCAAATTTTTATCGATATCACCATCTTAAAAAATTTTTGCGACCATCGTCCAAAAAAACAGGTAAAGAAAGTTACCACACTCGTTCCTTGAATACAGGGCCCAGATTGCCAGGGGAACAGTTCAATTTAATTTTTATAATTTTTCTAAGCAAAACTTCGGTCTCGATTTGGCCTGCGTCACAGAGATTTTTGGCTCTTTCTGGGAAAGGGTACGATGACCGATCGCCGCCGGTTCCCAACGGTATGACACGCAAACAGGCTTGCTCGGAAAACCGTATTAGAGAATATCAAGGTTTCCTTCAACTGACACTTCAACGACAAAAGTGAAAATTGCTGATAATTTGGGATTTGGGTATATCTGTCCTAGCCTCTCCCTAACCGTCTCTACCTATCCCTCTATTCCTGTACCAGATAGTACTTGATATAACTACTATTTGTCTTCTTATTACCGGTCCGGATCCTAATGACTCAAAATTTTGAACTGAAATTTTTTAGGGTTTCTGTGTTCTGGTTGAAAATTATAGGCTTACATTTGAGCTGAAACGTCTTATTCAACTTATTGCCGATAAAAATCTTTTTATCCTAAGCCTACATTACGAAACAAAAACCTTAATATTCCATTGGCTTCCATTTTGATTATCCCAAGTTACGAATCCCAAGAAGTGCAACATTTCTAATTTCGTGTCACTTCTGAAACAATATTCCCGGAGTTCAGAACAGTTGTTTTTGTTGTTTTCGAGTTCTATCAGAGACTAACTTACTCATTTCTTGTTAACTGGTTTAGTTTAACTATTCATTACCACATCCTCTGTATACTTTGTATGGACCTCTTCACAATGTCTGTCGTAAAAATCTCTTCAAATTGTCTGAATCCACTGTCTGAGCCTTCTCACAGTGTCTGAGTATACTAGCTGAATTACTCTCCCTTCTACTAATGGGAAATCCAGATGGGAATAGGTGCAGGAGCATCCCTGTATAAAAGGACGATGGAGGTTCCAAACTGAATCATTATTGCGTCGTTGTTTTTTTTCGTTACTTTCTTCATCTATACTCGTTGATGCTACAAATTCATCTCTGACTATTCTACTCAGATTCTAGCAAATACTTTCTTCCTCGTGCCGAACATAAAATCTGCGCGCACCACACACTTGATGCGATTTCTTAGACATCCAGATCTTCGCTTCATCACAACGTTCGGTTCAAGATCACCAAACAACCTATTTTCCAATCATCTCTCTGAGCGTGTCAATTTCATTAGATGAAATAACTTTTAAGATCATTATGAGACGTGGGGTCATAAAAAAACGGAAACCGAGTTCATATCAAGCTAGTCAATCTAGAATGGATGGTAAAACGCGTTATTGTTAGCGATTCATAACCATGGGGCAGATATTCCGTCACTAGCTTTTAGACAACATCAATATCTTGTAAACCCAGATGTTGATGAAAATTGCAGAATAAATTACCGTATCTCAACACTTCTGAAATTGTTGAAATCCGCTTGCCGGTTCCAGTTAAGTTACAAAAGTTTCAACACCAAAAATCGCCTTTAGTGCAAAAATAGTAATCGAAGTCGATTTTCTCAATTTTTAAGACATTCTAAAACATGAATTTTGTTGTGTTATACTTACAATTTGACAAAATTTTCTTCTTTTTTTCTTATCATTACTAATAACATTCACCAAATTCCGTATGTCCGGATGTATGTAGCGTGGCTGTTCACCCATTCGAAGTTAACCGATTGAGCTGAAACCTGGACAGATAGGTCAGAAGTGTGTCTTAGTTAATGCTCGAACTTTTCGTTTTTCGAAATTCTGATTTTGAAGTAATCTGGAGACGTTCCTTGGTTTTTTGAGCGTGGCGGGCGGGGGAGAAGAGAGTTAGGAAAACTCACACACGTGTACGCCATTTCTCCCACTCTTTTGTGGTGACAGGGTGGTGTGGTGGTTAACGCGCTGAGCTTTCGTCCGCGCGTCGCGGGATCGAGTCCGATAGTCGGTAACTTTTTTTCGGATTTTTGTAGAGAGTTCAGAAATGAATAAATACATGTTTGACTGTTTTAATCGGTTTGAATGAAATCCTAGCCAAGAGTTTCCCAGTTTCATTAGCTTCAAGTCGAAAGGAAAACTTAACCGAACTATGAAGTTTTTGATTTTTTGTTGTGTAATCAGCAAATTTGAAGATTTAAGATAAGGAGGGCCATTAACATATTTTTTCACTTCTGAAACATCTCACACAGATGAACCTTGAAACATTTTCTGAAATTCGATAATTTTTTCGAATTCAGAAGATCCGGGCTCGCCAGGCCCTGATTTTGCAAGTATGATTAAAAGTTTGCAAGCCGGAGCGATTTTTCACTCCCAATTTTCTGAAACCATTGAACTTTTAAATTTTTAACCGTACTTCTGAGTTTCTTATTTACTTTGAAACTTCAGAACTTTTGAACACTATTAATTTTCGAATTCCCGGGTTTCTGAATTAGTTTTCTGAATCAAAAAAAGTCAAGGTTTGATTTACAACCAAATTTTAATTTACAAACTTCTAGGATTCTGGGAAACTGAATTACCTATGTTTAGAGTTATACAATTTCATAATTTTTAGCTTTTGAAATTTCGAATCAATAAATACCTGAGATTTTGAACCTCCGAATTCGGATTTCCAGAATTTCGAGATTTTCGAATTATCATAAAAAATCAGAAAAGGAGGAATAGGTCAAGATTCCTAAACTGAGAAATCAAAAATTGGGGAGTTTAAAAACTCCAAAACTCTCAGAATCAGATAAGAACTGAAGTTTTGAAAGTTTTCCAAACTCTTGAAAGTTTTGAATCAAAATCTTTGACCATAGACTCTGAATTTATTAACGTCGCGAAATTCAGAAAGTTCAAAAACTCAAAAACTCAGATTTTTGAAATTTAGAAAGTTTGAAGACTCGGAAACTAGAAAATTGTAAAATTCTGAAACTCCAAAAATCTGAGTATAAAAATAAAGCATTTTGGCAGTTCGAAAGTTTAGAAAAACTGTAATTTTAAAGTTCTCAGCAGAGATTCGAGAGTAAAGAAGAAGCTCTAATCTTTTCGAAAAAATTGAATAATACACGAATTTCTCAATTTTAAGGCACTGAATAAAAGTGAAGAAATTTCTTTATAAGATTACGGTACTGTAACCGGGGGCCAGGAGGTCTAACCCCGAAGGGGCGTAAACCGACTGGTTTTCTTACATCACATTTAAAGCTATCAAACAAATTCGACGAAAAAAGTTAAAGGAAATTCCTGAAATATGATATTTCATTTAATTCTAAAATAACACAGCACTTGTGTCTTCTGAAGTTCGGAAAATCGTCTTTAATTATTTCTCTTTTAGAGTTTACAAGCTTTTGAGGATCCTGTATGAATTATTTCAAAAGACCAATCCAAATTAATTTCGTCAGATTTCTCTAACTTCAGTTTCTACTATGTCGCACAGTGTCTCGTCTGCATAGTGTGAGGACCATACTAATTGTACGCGTTACCGCGTTTGTGTCTACCACTCTCCACACAAAAAGGTATCTCTTTCTACTCCGACTACAACCACCACTGCCAACAGTCAACTTGCCCACCTTAGCTATTATTAATTGTCTACGCGATTCCTGCTCCATCTCGGGATCCTCTTTGTTTTTGCTCTATATTGCGAAAAGCACATTTTTGCAGACTTCTAAGTGTTTTTCTTGCTTATCAGTAGAAATATTATTGTTTCATCGAAGGATTCTTTTAAAAATTCGATCGAAAATGCCTGACAACGTTCTGTTCTGTTTTTCATCTTCATTCCCTTGTTTCTTTTGCTAGTCCTTTTTTCTTATTACAAATCTTCTCAAATTTTCAGGCAATCATGACTACTATCCAAAGTTCAATAATTAAATGCCAAGACTCCCTGGTTTACAATGTCCACACAACCTGCAACAAAAGTCAACCGGACTTTGTACCCGAATTGATTTATTTCAGTGTTTTCGTTCGAAGCAATGAAGATCATACATACTGTGCGTTTTGCATTCAACAAAGTAGTTAAACCGGTCAAAAATCCAATACTGACAGTAGAGTGCATCGAATCGACAGGTATTTTTTTTCTCATCATCTAAACTGAAACTTTAATCTTTTTTACAGGAATTTATGAAATTTCGGTTGATGCTGCGGATTTGTTCTGGGACGTTTATAAAGAGTATCAGACATGGCTACACGACCACGGTCTTGACAAAAATGATCCACCGATGGATTGCTATATTCCAGACGAGTTGATCAATTTTTTCATGAAAAATAGTCAATGCAACAAAACGTCACTGGAAATTGGAGGATCAAAGACGGAATCTGCAATTGATTTGGCGAGAATTGACAATCCGACGAAAGTAGACGATGGCGTTGCAGAGCGGCAACCAACAACATCAAAGACAAATGCTGATTATTCGCTAACTTTTTGCCGTCATCGCCATGTCTGCTATGGCGCCTCCGGCCAAGAGGAAATTTCATTCGAGCCTGGACTCCGAGCCTCCACTGTTTGTGGAATATGACGATTATCTGGCAATGCACAAGCACGTAATTGTTCTAACCGACATTATCCAACAAATCCGAGATGGACTGATTGAAGAAGGATCCACCAAATTTGGTAAGATAATTGCGAATACTTGCCAGACCACTCCCGATCCGTCCCAACTTGGACCTCCTGTCTCAGCTCTTTCTGAAGTATTTGTCGATGCCGTCTCTACTCCCGCTCCCTCTTCCTCTACCAAATCGTTCGCCAATGCTGTCCTGTCCTCCATGACTACCTCTGCTGAGCGTACTTCAGCTCCAGTCGGCCCTTCTGAAATCGCTAAGCAGGCTTATCAACTCTTGGAAAAGTCTACTAGAGCGGTGATCGAACGTGCCCCTGATGATAAATCCCCAAATGAAGATCAAAAAGACTCTGAATTCATTGCCGCCATCGCTAATAAGCACTCGCTTCCAATCCCATCACAGGTGTATCGTCACGTTTGCTCTTCCCGTTTCCGTCCTCTCAAATTGCAGTTCTCCTCCAAATCCGAACGTGACACCTTCCTCAAAGGATTCAATAAGATCAAGAACGACGAGCCACTCCTGAACACCATCGAGCCCAAACTCAGAGCCCGCCGTGACCTGACCCGTTCCGAACTCGAAACCCTTTGTGCATCCAGAAAGTTCGTATACGATGAGAACCTGAAGGCGAAGACCACCAAGTACATTATGCAAGATATCCACTAAAAGCTCAATGATAAGCCACGTCCTTTTGTGTAAGTGCCTGCACTGTTTCTTTCCCTTTTTCCAACCCCCACGTTATCACAGCTTCCTCTTCCCGTCCCACCAAACAGTCCAGAGTTTCTATTGATCCTTCCTTTCCATCTGCACCTCTCTCGTCTCCACTTCGTCCCTCTCCCCCTTTGACTGTCTCGAACTATGATGACATGTGCATTAAGGTTTTACTTGCTAACGTTAAAGGCGTAGCCACTATCTCCAAAATTCATCTCCTTATTGATATTTTTGCCTCCTCTTCTCAACATCTCCTCGTTTTGTCCGAAACTTTCCTCGACGACTCCATCTCCTCTTCTCTATTCCATCAACGTGGACTGGAGACCCTCTTGTTCATCACAAAAAAGAGGAGGTGGGGTTGCTTTCCTATTTAAACCGACCATTTCACTCTCGACTCTTCCTCTTAACATGGACCGTCATTATTCTCTTCATCTTTCAGAAATACTAGCTTGCTCTGTGTCTCCGTCCTCATCGTATCCCTATAATGTTCCTTCCTTCTCTCCTTTCACTATTGTCCTAGTTTATAGACTCCTCTACTTCTGACTCCTCTACTTCTCAAACTTCCTCCCTCATTGCTCATCTAGATAAGTTCCTCCCTCTTGATTCCTCCATTCTTGTGGGTGATTTTAATTTCCCCAGTTTATCTTGGAATCCCCTTAACCATAATCATCAGTTTGTCTCTTTTCTCACTTCTCGTCGCCGTCGAGCCTCCACTGCTTAACTCTGACCACTTTGCCGTCAAGTTCCACATTCTTCCTACCACTCTCACTCCTCTATCTCCATCTATATCTCGCCCTTGTTTATGGTTCAAGAAATGCAATTTGCGCTCCCTCAACTCCGATCTCGCCACCATCGACTGGGACCTCTCATTTAGTGCATTGCCTTCTCCTTCCGAAAAATTCACTAAATTTATTGATATTCTTTCCACACTTATTCGTAATCATACTCCTCTGCTTCCTCCACCCAAATCCAAACCCTTTTCTCTACCATTTCGAAAGCTTAAACGGGCAAGGCACCTCTACTCCAAGCTTCTTAAAACTCCAACTACGGCTCCCAGGAAAATTCTCCATGTTCGAACTCATATCAAATCTCTCACTCGAACAATCAATAAGAAAATGGTAAGTGACGAATTCCGAATCCTCTCAGCCCCACACTGTCGTGCTGCCCGCGCCCTCATCAAAAGTAGAGTTAGATCTTCACCTAAAGTCCCACCTCTTTCTGCAAAAATAAGTCAAAAATTTTGCGAAAATATTTATTGTTGGGTTACGGGAGCATTCGTTTGCCGGCTGTGTTTTCGAAAATTTTTCTTGAAATACGGTGGCCTAACTTGTGTGAAAATTCGGCCACAACTCCAATTTTTTTGCACAAGAATAATGCATGCGCTTTGATCTCAAATTACTTGGTTCTTATGAGAGACATGAAAATTTGTCAACTGATAAAACACTGTCAATTTCATGTCAAATAATTCATCAGCTGAAAAGTTCTCTATCTTTCAAAGCAACCGAGTAACTGAAGTTCGAAGTGCACCATTATTCTTTTAGAGAAAATACGGTAAGCATGAAATAAAGCAATACAATCAAAAACACTGTGAGTATTCAAGAGAAAAAGTTAAGAACCGAGAAATTATCAGAAATATAACCAACAAATTGAAATCAAGAGAAAACAAATTGAAAAGGCAGAAAATAAACGGAAGGAAAATAATCATCAAAAGGATTCGATACATAAAAATTCAAACAGAATGAAAGTAGGACAGAAAAAAGACAAATTGGACAAAAAAGATCAGTTTAAATCAAAGGTAACCGCTTTTTGAAGAAGAAAAGAAACCACAGATTGATCCATATCTGATAAATTTCCAGCCAAACATTCACGAACATCGTTCATTGTCTTGACTCCAGCAAGGCATTTATTCTGCAATAAAAACAATTATTTGAACACCATTACAGCAAAAACTACCTTCAGTCTATTGAAATCGTATTGTTTTGCTAATTTCAGCTTCTCTTTGGCGCTTTTTATCGAATCTCTCACGAGAAACGTTTCACACTGAGCTCTCACTGTTTTTGTGTTGTATTTATCAGCGAGCGTTGGAATGGCATTCACGGTATCGTCTGAAAATGAAAAAAAAATGGTCGGAAAACTTTTTTATCACCTTCAATTGATGGTTCGCCGTATAATGCCTCTAAGAAGATTTGGAAATCGGAGGCACTGGTGTCTTTGAGAACAACTTCGTTTTTTTTGGATTCTTTGAAACTTCCCAGAAGCATAGTATAGAAGACAGGGGATTGCCCGGCAAGAAACTAAGAAAAACTTGATTGTGTGAAACTGGTTGCGACAAAACTTACCATCCTGGAAACGTGGAATTTTTTGTCCTCAACTTTCAGCACTAAGTCAGAGGTGTCTTTGGTGGATTCATCGAATTTTCGAAGAATTTTCCTTCCGACTCCAATCATTTTTAGAATCTGCACAAAGACACTGATCGTCACCACGCCATCAACAACGTATTCATTCATAAATTCTTCCCATGACATGAGCGGTAGAAAAGTGGGACGTGTTGATTCGAATGGGGAACACTGGAGTGTTCTTACGGTTTCCAATGAATGCGTTTTTCCATTTACTGACAACACTTGAAATGATTATTTGGTCTCAATTGTACACGCGTGGTCGTTGCAGAAGGAACAATATACACACAACCCGAGATTGTTATCTTCTCGTTTTATCTCAATTATCCTGAAAAAGAGAAACAATGAAACTGAAGACTGCTCTCGATTTTGTACCAAGGTAAACCAAAGAGTAATTCTGTATATTCCGAACGGATATCACCCTCAATATCAAAAATGAATTTATTTCATATGAAAGTAGAATAAGGTTAGAATACAGAAAGTGTAATTTTTCGTAGACTTTTGGCCATTTCAAATCTATTTTTTGATTATTCGAAGATTAGATGTATAATTCAGAAAGGTTAAACAGAAAGAAAAAGAAAAAGGCGAATCTCGAATAAAAAAAGTCAATAAAAAGACACAGGATTCGAATTTATGTTGGATTTTGAAGAAGTTCTTGAATTTCAATAACAATTTTGAAGTTTAAAGAAAATCTTGGATTCTGAAAAAAAAATTGGATTTCAAAGATCATGAGAAACATTAAAATCTAAAAATTTCGCATGATGAGAATTTCATCTTAAATTGTGGTCTCTGTTCCTCCTGGATGTACTTCGCTGTAACTAGCATTCGAACAACTGATTTGCCATCGTTTTCAGACGTTTTCATAACTTCTGTTATTTTATTTTTGATTTTGAAGATAGTGGAAAAATTTCGAAACTAGGGGACATGCTTAATGAGGTTCCAGAGGTTCTTATTCATCTCCCTCATCTTGACGGGGACCCAGGATTTAAGGGCGGATGAAAAAAGTGTATGTAGAGGGCACACCGAGATCTGAGGTACATAAGTTCAAAGGATAAATGGGATTTTGGTGTGCAGGTCGTTTTAACCTAAACCTATAATTTAGAGCTATAGAAAAAAAAATTTTCGTCCTTCCGTATGTACCACAAAATCCCAAGTGTGCTTGGAATCAATATACTCTAGTGTAAGACCTAGATGTACCCTTTCCCGATGTACCCTTGGATACTAGGCCGTTGAAAATATGACATATACAGCAAAATGTTTCAAAGTGGATGCCAAATGCGAGTGTTTCTGAGGAAGAAAAACAAGAAATTTCAGCTCAAGAAACTGAACAAAAAACAGAGAATAAAAAAAATCAGTGAAAAAAAAAGATGTTCGCCGGTTTTCACAAACTTCAGCAATTCATTGACTGGAAGTTTTCAGAATACTATGGCTTTCATTTGAAATCATAGGCTTAGACTGAGACACCCTCGTTTTCTTTGTATTGAAAAATTCTAAAATGTCGCCAAATTCAAAAGATTTGAAATCAAAAAATCTATACCTTATTTAGCACCCAAATCAAATTATCTCTCAAGCAAACAAACAACAAGAAATCGTTGGCCTGTTTACGTATGACGGTTCGTCCGACGTACTAAATAGCTCTTACCCGAAAAAAAAACAATAATTGAAAAGCAGGAGGTTTTTCATAAATCGTTTCTGAATTTTTTAAAGTTCAAAATTTTCTTGATTGAAATCCAAAAAATTGCTTTAAAATACAAAATTTTGTGACCTTTTCTAAAATCTTTTATTTTTATGCCCAGCACGCGGTGGCGCCGCAGAGAACATGCCATTTCGCGCGTGTGCCGTATGCAGAATGCATAGAAAAGACGGCTGCAATGAATAATACTATTGCATCTGAGAGGCAAGATGCATTGTCTTTTTGCAGAGGTTAGACAGTCAGAGAAAACTACAAAAGCCCACGGATGGTTGGAATGCCCGAGGAGTTCTTCAACTGCGCTTGTGGGGCAGCGAGTGAATCATACGCCGAATGAACATTTGATATTTCATGAGCACTAGTTCACTACCAAAGCTGTGACTCAAAAATCCCTAGGTGCACTTTTTCAATGAGCAAGAGATCCTAAAGGAGAGGTCATTGAACTCAAGACAACGACAGAAAAACTAAGATTTTATCTTTTATGAAAATATGGAATAGATCTTTGAAGCAGTGAAGCGGAAAATGGGAAAATGGGAAAACAGCAATTAGCAGTTACGTAGGCTTGGTTTATCAAAAGTACAGAAAATTGTTTACAAGTTTTGGAGTTGTAGATAACGTGCGTCCACAATTGAAGGTATGCTGCTTAGGCGAAGGAAGAGATTTTAATAAGTTTACGGATGAAAATATCAATAATAAAGATGGAAGAAGAAAAATAACTTCTTGAGGTAGAACGAATTTTTTGGTCTTCAGTGTTATCATAATTGTGTTATAAGGTTGTTAAAGGCTGATGTGATTTGTCTAAACTTGTCTAAAGTTTTTACCCAATGAATTTTTTCAGAAAAAAAGAGCACTAGTTTCTCTGTGCACCTGGCGTCCGTGAGGAGCAACCCCAGAAAAAGAAAAAAAACAAATTACATTCGTATCCACCAATTTTCTTTTTTTGTAGAAAATTGGGAATGTGGAGGAATTTCCTAGAACTACATTTCTCGGGAAAAAAAGCTGCTCGAAAAAGGATTCCGCCTCCGTTCAACTGAAATAGAAGAAAATAGGTGAATGTAGAATAAATAAAATCAATATAGAGACACTGTACAATTTTCTGTGTCTCAAATTGAAGATATTTTCAAGAGAAAAAGGGACCGTTGCGAAACAAATTGATATCTATGGAAAAAAAAGTAAAAACAGAATATTGCTAGAGAAAAGGCTTTCTATGTATACGCAGCTCTTGTTTGTATTAATCACTTCATTTTATGAACTTTGAGACGAAGTATAGCGGGGAAGCGTCTGGCGAGAGTGAAGCCGACTGGTAAGAGGAGGAGACACGCGCGAACTCTCTTTGATTGACTCCGCCAATTTTATGACAGCTTTTTTTTATTTATGGTGAGCACAATAACCTGACAAAACGTTTAGGAATGTCGGGAAGATGTTAAGAGAGGCGGATTTATGGGTGACAGATCTTTTAGATTGTAACTTGATACGCTAATAAAATTATCATAAATCGAAACGTTGAATACTTCTGTGGAACAGTTCTGAGTGATAAGAGAACTGAGCCCAGGTTGAACAAGACCACAGCGCAAAGTCGCGTACTGGGCAAGATTTCGGCGAGATTCTGGCATGCTAATCGGTGTGGTGCTGAGAAATAGTAAATGGGGAGAACTTATGTGGTGCATACGAAAAATTAGCAAAACTGAAAATTGTTTTTAACTAATTCTCTCGAAAGGGAGAAAATTAGTTTTTTTCCCCCGAGAATCACCTAAACTTCATGTCATTTTCTAAAAAACCGAGAAGATTAATGATGCAATCAACGAAAAGAAAAAAGTGCGTCAAGCATGTCAGATTCTTTCATAAAATTAATAGAAGTTGTTATCAACGAAAAAAAGAGAAAAGAATAGCGGGATATTGAAACGTGGCGGGTGAATTGAAACCGGCGGAGAGCAGAAACATCTAAAATGGAATTCGATTTTAAACAGTAATCAAATCATTGAAGAAGAGTAATTCAGATTTTAAAAACTGAAAAAAAACAAGCACATCATGAAAAAACCCCAAGATCTAAAACCACGAGTAAAAAATATTAGATGACGGGAATTTGTTTTGAATGATTCTTAAACAGTTCTCAGAAATATGTATTAATCTTCAGCTCAATTCGAAGTTTTCAAAAAGATGCGACAATCAAGAAATAATGGCCCCGAGAGACCAGCGCCTCACTTTCTCTAGACAGCCACCTCATTTGCAACGATTGCGCCAATGTTGCGCAGAACGATTGGCAGGGGGCCAAACTCTGTACCATTTCATCCGCGACCTCACTTGTTACGGGCGCTACGCAGCGCGACCACAATGAACTCAGTATATGTACACAGTCTCCAACCGTTTTTCTGCCTCAAACCGTCATGTCTTTCGGAACTTCGTGTATTCTGGGTTTCTCAGAGGTTGCCTTTTTTTTCTACCTACCCCATTTTTTCGTTGGAAATGAAAGTTTTTTCGCATTAGATTTTCATCGGACGGCAATGTTTTCGGAAGCTTTTAGTGAGGGATGGTTTTGCAATATTTTACATTTTTGTCGGTTTTGGGTTGTGTTTTCAAATGAATAACTTCAACTACTTCAAAATTTATTCGTTTTTACATTTAGTGACAAAATTTGACTGAAAGGGCAAATCGGCTACAGAACTCGATGATCCTTGGAAATGCTTTTTGAACACTTTTCTTTTCTCTCATCTCTCCATTTTAGAATATTACTACTTCGTAATGATTTTTTATCCCACATAGTGCTCCACTTTTCGGTTTGTATCGTTTCTCTCATTCTCCTTTTTTCGAACTATTGTTCAAAAAAGACGAAAAAGAAAAGCATCTTGTCCCTCACTTTTTATTACCATACATGGTCGTCCTGTGCACATCACCACCCAACCATTCGAACAGATATTTTTCTCACACAAATGCAAATATCTGCCAGTTGGAAGTGATTCGATCAATACAGATGTTTCCTCCTCCCTCGTGTTTCCTTACCACGTTCCTTTCGTTTCAGCCAAAACTGTCGTCTCCGAAAATGATTTCAATAGCTTGATTATAAAAAAACTAGAAAATCTTGTAAACGTATTTGTATTATCGTTCTCTGAGCGGATAACTCATAAATTATACTCAAAGGTGCATGAAACGCCTATTTTTCTTAATTGTTCGACTGTTTTCATCGTTTTTTTCAATGATTTCATCATCATAATTTGTATTCTTTTTTTTAGGAAAAACTGTAAAAATTTTCAAAACATCAAGAAAATAGAAAAGTAATAGAGTTCGCTTTTTCCCCTTCAAAAGAATTTTAACGAGATATCCGCTTTCCAGGGGACGGTAGTTGTCGCTCTGGGGTTTTCGTTCACGGTCACCGGCATTTCTCGTACTCACTTTTCTTTTCTACTTTGTGCAGACACAGAATGATAAAATTCCGATTTCCAAGAAAAATTCCCTCCGCTCCGTTGCTTCCCATCTAGAAAACATTCGTTTTTTCTTTTTCCGAATCATTTTTTTCGAGAACTGATTTTTTTACATTTGTTCTTAAGCGAAAATCATATATCGTACACGGTCACAGCAACTGACATTTCTCTTTCACAGCTCCAATTTTTTAAATATAAGAGTAATCAGAGGTTTCCTCCTCGTTCGTGGAAAAAATTGAAATGAGACTATTCACCGGATCATCATTCGTTTCTAATAAAACTTTCTGTACCCTTTGAGGCAGTCATTTGACATCCAAGAGAAGTTTGTACCTGGAGACCAGCGCCTCACTTGCCCCAGACAGCTGTCTTCTATGCAACATCGTGCCTGTATTGCGCAGAACACTCGGCACAATGCCAGACTCTGCATTCTCTGCGACCTCACTTATTAGGGGCGCTACGACCTCACTTGTAGGGGCGCTACGCAATGTGCGTCGCGACCTCAAAACAACAGAGTTTATGTAGACGGTTTCATCGCTATTTATCTGTCCTAAACGGTCATTTTTAAGAACCTTTCACTTTCTTGGGGTGCTCACAGGAAGGCTGATTGACATTACTTATACGCAGTCCTCATTTTTATATTTACTACTACGCAATCATTTTTGAGTATGGATTAGTTTATTACGGATTCTTAATTTTTTGTGATCGTTTTGTAATTTTTTTTCGTTCACTTTCCTTTACTCGCTGCACGATAGTAGAATATAGAGCCCTCTGGACCAGTAGAGAATGGTCCTTCAGATATCAAATGATTTTTTCAAAATTTTTCGAGATTTTAAAAGCCAACAAGATGAACTTTCACATTTTGAAAAAGTTCAAAACAGTAAATTTAAAACAAAATTAGACGGACCATTTTTCTGTAAGTTTCATTTTATTCTAATGTAAGCAATATTTAAGAAACTGAGACATTCCAAAGCTCTTGCAACAATTTTTTTTCAGAATTATCAGATTGCTCTTTCCAATAATGTTTTTAAATTGTCAAAACAGTGTGGAGGCCTCCTATGTAAATTACTAAAAAAAATGTTTGATCGAATTTACAGTTTTTTATCTTGAGATTTTCAGTTTTTTAAGGAATATTTTCAAAAATTCAGGTTTTCAAATTCCAATCTTCAGGACTTTGAGCTATCATTTGTAGTAAGTTCAAAATTCTTGATTTTCCAATTTTCGATTTCTTGGATATTACTATGTTAGATTTTGTTAGGGGGATGTATGAAAACCAATATTTTTCGAATTTTTGCTTACATACACCTCTCGAGGAGTTGAACTTGTTTGCGCGTCGACCCATTTTATCTGATTATTGATCATTGGAATTTTCTGAATCCGTCTGACTCCTACCGTTTTTTTTCTCCTACTCATCCTAGAATTTATATCAAACAACATGTCCCTATTCTAGCACATTCTGTTTTTTTTTGTCCCACTTTATTCCTTAAATTCCCATGATTCCCTCAATAGTGCCTGCGCCCGCCAAAAAAACATTTGTTACGAGTTTCAGCTCTATCGAATTTATTTTTCGTTTCTAACAAGGGATTATTTCTATCACTCTTGTTTCAATTATTCGTTTATTATCTTTCAAGCATTTCCTCTTACTTTCTACTCGAAAGTTGTTTCTCTATATCTTCAAACTACTCGTTTTTTCCTGTGCCCGTAATAGTGAATGTTCGGTTAACAAATAAGGTATTTGTACTCAATTGTATTTTTCCTTCGCTGTTTGTTGAAAAAAATAGTTTTCTGCCAAATCTCGAAATTTTAGGAAACGCTAGTAAATACCAACCGGATATAAGTTATATCCATTTCTAAAAACCTACAACAGGTCACGCCCCCGCAATAACCACATTTTTAACCTAAAAAAGGTTGTTCTATCCCGATTTTCATCCTCAAATTTCGCCTTTTTTCCTGCGAAGATTTGTTTAGGGAAAAATAATAGGCGCATCAAAAAAAAAAGACTCAAATAACTTTCTGATTGTTTTCAAATTGAAAAAAAAATTATTTTAAATTTTTCTTGGCCACGATTGGAAAAAAAGTTCATACTTATAAGCCACGCTGTATATACATGGGAAAACATTGAACTTTTTCCAAAATTCGTTTTGGAGCCAAGTTATTCATATTTTTGCCCGAAGTGATTTTTGGCACACGAATTCGCTCGAAGAATTTTGATCAAATTAGAGGCATCACGCTTGTGATTATTGTTGTACTTGATATTTTTAGTCGTTGTGAAGCCAATGTTTTAATACCCATCAGAAGATCGAAGAATCGAATTCTTAATTGTCAAATTTATAAATTTTGAAAAAAAATAATTGAAGAATAGAAACCGACCTTCTAATTGAAACCCACTTCTAATAGAAGTCTAACTTGAGACAGAGGTGAAAAAATAAAAACCTTTGGGCTTCTATTAGAGAGAATGCGGTACATTAGAATCCGAAAGAAACACAATCTGAATGTAAAAACTGAACCTACTCCATGATTTCACATTTGGAAAGCCGCATTAGCGAGCTGGACCAGAAAATATATTCAGTTACAGTATCGAATCAATTTTCAAACCTTTTTTCGAGTTTAAAATCAATATTCAAGTTTTCCGAAAACACAAACTCATTCATTACCAATTATTTATTCAGCTTATAAAATTTTTTTCACAGAAAAGTAAAAAATGAAATAAATCAAGAGGTTTGAAATGTTGACGAGGTGGGGAGTACGATAATGATATTCTTTACAAAACAAATCAAAAGAAAATTCATCAAAAATAAAAATTAAGCAAAAAATTAACAGGAGAGGAAGCCTTCAATGAGTTGTTGTTGCTTTTGAACTTGTCGTAACTAATAGGAGCATTACATAGAGATTCCTCACACCGACACAACCAATACTCGACGGCAGATTCATTTTGTTTGGAACGCATCTGAAATGTTTTACAAGAGTTACTTAATACGTTTTCTCAAAGTTCAACTCACCATTAGCTCACATCCTTGCGTCAATTTGATAACCGGCAAACGGGAAATTCCAAGTGTCTCCAGTCCACCAAACACGGCCGTTTTATTCCCAACCAGGAACTTTGCGTAGCAGAAAAGCTGACCTTTGAGAATTTTCGAGGAACTGTTCCCCTCGGTAGCTTGATAGCAATCGATCCTGTTTGATGAGATGAAATGAATAGTCATTCTGGTAATAAAAACGGCAGCGATTAGTCCAGAAATGAGAATCAGTATCTTTCTGCGAGTAGCTGGAGCACGGCGGAAAGATTCAAAATACTTTGATCCATTGAACATCGTTCTTTTATAAACCGGAATTAAGGTTCCAGTTATGGCAAATGCGGAGGACTTGAGCCGCATTGATGCGTGTTGAACTGAAGAAGAAAACTGATTAAGCACCTGTCTTATATGCTGGTTAGCAATCTTCAGCTATTGGCGTGTAAAGACACGCCCCTTGGAAGACATCTCTACTCCAATCAGATGAGGCTAAGTCTACGGTAGGAAAAAACTATGAAATGCGTAGAAATAACACTATACATAACGAGAAGCATAAAACTAAATTCATAAGAGGAATAAAGTCTTGGGCAAGTTATGCATTATTTTCACAGATCGCAAGTTCGAACAGCAATAATTTTTTATTGGAAATATGTTGAGAACTTAAATAAATAGAAATTGAAAAAAAATCGTTATCTGAATGGGTCCCAAAAATTCAATTTCCTTCATCAAACCGCCCATGGAATGTCGCAACTTCAAACTTGATCTCCGTAAGCACTCAAATGGAATTCTTCTCAAACTGTAAGCGTTAAGCTCATATCTCATTTCATGTGAAAGATATCAAAAGATGGCAAACTGACAAAATCTTGTCATAATATCAAAATTTTTTTGTTAGATGTCCACTTTTCAATATCTTTTACAAGAGCCAAAATACATTGGCTTAAAGTGAAATCTTAGGAGGGTCACTCTATAAAATTGTTTACGGTGTCTTGATTCTCGTAGGAAATATCAAACGTTTGTTTACTGACGTACCGCTAAAACAATTGAGGTTTTTGGAAATGGATACGGTATCCACATTCATCAATTTCAAAAAGTCCGATTCTGATGCTGAACTTTGTTTTTGTTTTTTCCGTATACATGGCTGGGAACACTTACTTCCTCATTCGATTCAACCGAAACTGGACACATTGTGTTTTGAAGTTCAGTCAAAAAAAAGTTTTTCATGCCTGGATCACTATGATCCCATTCCTTATTTGCAAATCTTAAATATCACAAATCAACCTCAAACATCTACATCCAACTCCTACAACCTACGTGTATAACATTGTTTCCGTCTTACCTCTCGGAAGGTTGTCAACCGTATCTATACTTCACGCTTTTGACTTTTTGTCTTCCCAAGCTGTAAACAACGTTAAAAGTGCATAAATCTTAATCATCAATGAAAATAGTTGGACACTGAAATCTATCATCATCCGGAAGGGTTCGGGTTTTATACTGGGGAAATTTTCTTCATTTACTGTAAATGCTCTGGAATAATAAGCTTTTAGTAATAATATCACCAACACTATTATAGTTTTCGTTTTCAAATTTCAAAGTTCAATTTCAAAGTTCAATAGTTTTCAAATTTGCTATCTTTCACAAATGTTGAGATGACTTAGAAGTAGGAAGTACAAAATGAAATTTTAGAGAACTTACACAGTAAGTTGAATTCGAATGAAATCGTCAATTTTTTCAGAGTAAAAGCTCATAACATTGCCACCTGTGTCAAAAAATTGTTTGTTCTTTCAAATGTTCTTGGCTAATTTCATTTTGAGTAATCATTTCCAATTGAATGAACGTGATGAACTTTGTACATTTTTTCGTGCTTTTTTGAGGACTATGAAAGTCCGAAGTAGAATTCCACCACATGGAGCTCAGCGCTGAG